CGAAAATTTATCAAAGTGAAACAACTATATATTAAGAAAATCGAAAATATTTATCCATAAAAATTTTCAATAAAATTTTTCGATCCAATATATTTTGACTGGGCTAAAACAAATATTTTACCAATGCCCTCCGAATCGTGGTACAGCTATGCAGAGGGGAATTCTCCCTTAGAAAATTTGCATGTTTCACCCTACCCCTTATGGCATCTTCTTCCAAAAAAAATACTATGTCATTCTTTATAAACAATATTTTTGAGTGCAAAATAATAGGACTGTACAGGTATTAATTATCAGATCGAGGCCAATATTTACCGTTTAAAAAATATTGGTTCAGGCGATATTTTCAAAAAGTCAATCCGATTTCTTCATTGTTTTTGTTCATGAAAAATGAATAAATGAAACTAAAATTCAATTTATTTGTAGATTTTACAAAATATTTTTAAAAGAAAACGTAGTAAAAATGGTCGAGAAATGAACAATTTCAAAATATTACAGTTAGTTATTTTTTGCTTAGAAACTCTTCTTTATCTGGTTTAAACAAAGAAAAATAGTAAAGTTAATCTATCTGACGGTATCAGTTATCGGATCGGGCTTAAATGAATATTCATAAGATATCGGAGAATCCTAGAAAATAATAATAATTAGATGTCAAAATACCCTGCATTGACTAGACATTTATCGCCCAACCTAAATGGCATGTTGAAATTAATGATTTATTTGTATAGTTTAAACCAGCCCTAACCTAAGACAATTGAAAATTATTCTTGAATAAAATTAAACTTTTATTGTTATACCAGGTTCGAAAGGCATATAATGTCAATGCAATAATTTTTATAGTATATAACTTGTATAAAAAATTAAAAATTTGTATAAGGGTCCTGTTTTATATTTGTTGTGTGGACTATCTCCAATGCTGCTCCTCGTAGTTAGCCCAGATCATAGTATGGATATTATTAATTGTATATACTATATTTAAAATAATATATTAATTATTTCAAGAGAAATAATAATCATCAATAAATACTTAATAGTTATGACGAACTACTTATTTTAACCTTGGAATAAAAAAAAGTTTTTTTAAAATTTATCATATATTTCTGAAATTATATAAATAAACGCTTTTTAAAACACCTTCACCAAATTTAATTGATACCAATTTATCACAAAATTTAAAAAAAGAAAAGAAAATGTTTATATTTATCACTGATTGTGAAAAATTTGAATAAATTTATCTAAATTGCCCTCATATCTAAATATGTGAATTTCTTAACAAATTGTGAATTTCTTAGTAAACAAATACCAACTAAAATAGAATTACATAAATATCTAATTCTAATATAATATTTATTTTATTTTTTTTTAAATTCAAAGTTTTTATATGATTTTCGGAATCCCTTATCAAACCCATCTCAACGCCCATGTTATTTATTTTTATAAATTCAAAGTTTTATATAATATGATACTCGGAATCCCATGTCAAACCCATCTCAATGCATACCATGTTATTTTTTTCATAAGTGAACTTTAATTTAAATTTGAAATTGGAAAAAAAATTGAAATATTGTAAACAACTGCTAAAAATTATAAATATGAAAAAAAGAAGACAATATCGAATATTTTTTGTAAATTTAATTTTAGTACATGATTTTTCTTACACACCATTTTTTGGCTAAAAGATGACATCGCGAATGTCGATTATCATGAAAAGACATTTCCGTAAATATCTGAAAAGGTTTCGTGGTATTGACATGTAACCTCTGATTTTAAAAAAACTCAGCTAGGTCAAATTTGGCATTTCTTTAACGAAAAGAAGAGAGTCTAGAAATGAAAATATAGAAAAAGGGAGAAAAGCAAAAAAATAAAGAGAGAAAAAGAAAGTGATAAAAAAATTATGCTGGTAGAAGTCAGGACCTCAATTACTAAGCGATCGGCTTTGGTGAACTGGTCCTTCAAAATAATATATTACCCCATAGCAGATAATTACTTCAAAATTTGTTATTATGCAATCTAATCGAGCCTCAAAAAGCAAAGTTTAATCAAATTAAAAGTATACTTGTCATATTTTATTCTATTTCTTTTAATTAGTTTTATTTATAATTATAAATATATATATAATGCTTATACAAAATTTTTTTTTTCTAAGAAATATTTTTTAAAACGAATTACCATACCCCAGGAAAGGCGAGCTTCCGCATGGAGCTAGTGTATGAATTAAAAATTTAATCAATTTTGCATATAAAAATTGAATATTATTTAAAGTTCAAATCATAATTTCTCGTATGTTATAAAACAGGGCCCGGCGAATGAGTGCCTCAAAGTCAGGTCCAACTGAATTTTAGAAGGTTAGGGAATCGAAGACGGTTGTTATTACTGGAGTAACTGAAACTTAGTTATACCTAATAGACCTTAAAATTAAATAAAAACAAAAATACACTGGCGAATAATTTGTACTTTAACTTTACGTTAACTATTCGATAAACGCTTAGAACAACAAAAATAGGGCATTTTTTTAATTTGTCAAATAAAAATAATCCCTAGGTGGAAATCTATGATGAGGTTCGTATATCCTTACGACGGTAAAAAGGAAATAAATGTAAATGTATCAACATAAAGATCAAAGAGGAGTCTATCCCTTGACTCATGGGCTATGGCGTGTCCTAGTTTCGGAAAGGGCTAAAATAAATTCTACTAACCCCAAGAATTTTAATTAATATGAATGAATTGTAATTGTATACAGAGAATTAATTGTCTTTTATAGAACCAATAAAAATACAAAATTGATAGAAAAATAAACAAAAAGGGGTAGTTTAATTTAATTTTAAATAAATTGAATTGACATTTAATATTCGCTGATTTTTATGTTTTCATATTATCATAAAAAGTAAAAAAAAATAAAGTTTATTTTTCATAACAGAAAATTATATTCTTCATGCCTCTTTTGTTTGGATTAATTGATAATCTACATAAAATAGCGTTAATAAGCATATACTAATTTGCTAAACAACGACCAATTGTAATAAAAACTCATTTCCATTTTACATATATTAAAGGAATGAGGCGGACGCTTCAGAAATTCTATATATCATACCCCGTAGCAAAAACCACCTAATTAACTTCAGAAAAAACCCGGTCTTTGCTTGATTCGAACCCAAATTTATATAGGTAAAATAGCAATTATGGATAAATTACGATGCTATTTAATCAAGACCTGAAGAAGTACCATTTGCACTCCCAGATTTTTTTAAAAAAAATTCCGGCCAGGCCCAGCCCGGATTTTTATTTTCAGGGCTCAGAATTTTTTAAAAAAAAAATTTCCTTGGTTTCCTCAAAAAATTTTCGGTCAGGGTATATAAATTTTTTCCACGTCCTTGGTTTTTAATAAAATATACCTATTCGGCATTTTGGTTTTTTCAGCGAATATGAAATCCATTATAGTAACTTTTCAAATTATCTTATCTTCCGATTTGTCGTAAAGACGTTAGTTTGAATCACCACACTTTCAATCTGTGGCAATTTCATTATTTCCTGTTCCATTTGTAATTTAATATAGTCTTTTATATAATATAAATATCAGTCATTTGCGATCTTTCCCTGGCAATATACACAATTGCTTGAAAAAAGAGAGATAAAATGATACTTATCTAAAATAAATTTTTCCCTTAAAAAGTGTATTATATTCTATATATTGGGAGTATCTTTGTTGCTTTTAATTTGTTTGAATATCACTTAAAATAATGATTAGTTAAATTTTACTATAAATATTGGTGGAAATAGGAAATATAAGTGAATGAGGTAAATATTGTTATATGATACATAATTTAAAAAATATATTTAATTTTTTTAATTTTTATAGATGATAATGTTTAAAATGTTTGACTTTAAAATATTTACCTCCTCCCTGGGTTGATTATAAACGCAAAAAACAATAAAGTTCAACGCAATATATTATTACGCTAAAAGGGTTCTTCAAATTAAATATAGGAAAGTTTATATTTTAGGTGGTATAACGATTAATTTTTATTAAATTATTAATAAAGTTTATATTGCAGGCAAAAATATAAATCATCATCAATGAATTAAATAACTATCAGCATAAATAAAAATTATAATCGCATGTGCGTTATAATCAGCCCCTTATGTCATGTCCTAGCTGAATGACTGTTCTTAAATTTTGAATTCTATTTAAAAAATCAATTTTTGGGTTTTTTATATTAGATGTTGACATAAGGTAGATGATATCTTAAAATAAGCTAAAGGTGCATTTATTTCTGTTTTTAAATATAAATATCACTATTCAGAATAGCTAGATACTTAAAAAGGAACACACCCTTAGAGTTGCTTTAGAAAAAGAGATGTCTGGATATAAGACAATAAAATTAGTGTTTTTATATGTTTTTGAAAAAATGGCGTGCATACGCAGCCCGTAACTTGGCCCAGCCTATCCGATTCAGCATAGAGTTGGCAGAAAAATTAAATGATTTTAGAAATTTTGGCAGGATCGGGCTAAAACATACACTAGGACAGGACTTGAAATTTCTTTTCACCAGGGCAGCCTTGTTTTTGAAAACAATCAATTATCTAGTTGATTAACACATTTGCTGCTATTATTTTGAATTTACCTTTGAAACATGTTAGTAAACATTATTCCCGGTCCCAATCGGGCCTAAAAAATTGACCTCTGTTAAATCTTACGTTTCCACTATTTATAATATTACAAATATCGTATTTTTGGCTATTAGAGAGCTCTTTAAAAAAATATATATAAACTTGCTTTTATAAAAAAAAAATATCATATTAGAAATAAATATTAAAGGACCTTGTTTAATATTTGGATTAACTTCAAAAAAGAAGCATTTTAAATACAATCCACAAAACAAAATAAATACGACGATATAATTCTACCAGTTTTTTAAAGAATACTTATCGCTATCCTATAAAATACACCGTAATATTTTAAATATAAAAAAGCTTTCAAAATCCGAATTCCGGACTACAAATCATTAATTCTATAGTTTAAATATGAGTTCTTTTTGATTTCAGCGAAAAATTACATTTAAAAAAAACAAAGAAAACATCAACAATGACAATTAGACTATTTAAAAATGAAAGGATGCCTTCAACCTTGCCATTATCAATAAATTCCTATATCACATTAAAAGATGGTCATTATAATAAATAATTTACATTTGAAATTAACTCGTTTCTTTAATTTATGGCAATATTTTTATTTTATTTGATGCAAATAACTATGTGATTGATCATGGTAGTAGCGTTTAAACAACTAGCCCAAAATTTTAGCCAAAAATATTATGCATGGAGATTTTGCTCATATATGGCAGAAATATTTGAACATCTATTAATGAAATCTTAAAGCTTGCGTATTTTTTTCGCCAAAATATTGGATTAGCCGTTTTTAAACGTTTGCGCAGTAGCCTAAGTATTGATGCTTAAAAATTGAGAAAATTTTACTTGTGGATTGAGCAGAGATGTTTTTTTAGGAATTTGGCAAATTGCACTACTTATAAAAGTAATTGTAAGAATTTTGGCCAGAATTTTATAAAATTCCAAGTTCACCGAGAATAGTACACTAAAAGCACCGCATTTTTTTTATTTAGTTCATAATTTCGAATTTTTAAAATTTTTCGATATTAAATGAAACATTGTTTATCTTTAAAAAAATCGATATTCGATTAAGTAAAAAATTATACAAATTTTCTTATAAAACATTAATAAATATTATTTTTTTAAATTTAAAAAATAATAATTATCAAAATTTTTGGTAAAGATATAGAAAAACAAATAAAATAAATAATGTTTTTTAATATTATTTTTTTTTAAGTTAGATTCTTCTTCAGCAGTTGTTTTTTTTTAAATTCTATTTTCATCATCAAATAAAATAAAAATTTATTTTAAAATTAGCGAAAATATATTATTTATTGATTTTAAAATATGATTGATAGCGCTATAGATAGTTTTTTTGGTTTTTCAACCTTTTTTTTGAGATATGTGCTTAATTTATTATATATTTTTAGATTTGTTTACTTGATAATCATTTTATTTTTTCTGAATAATCTTATTAAATATAAAATAAATTATTATTTAGTAGTGTTTAATTTGCGCAAACAGGAAATATCGATTTTTTTATGTCAAGAATGCAAACTGAAATCTAATATTTTCTATATTCAATCAAACCAATTCATTCATAGTAGAGGTCCGTGTCCTATCTGCTTGGGTGTCAGACTTAAAAAATTTTTCGGACTCAACTAAATTTGGTGATAAATTTTATTTTGGACCGGAAGGGACAAAAATAGGATGTCCTAGTTCAGAACAAGGCCTAAAGGCTTTTTCACCTTCGAGCGCTTAGAATTTTGTTATTTTCTTTAAAATATCTTATTTTCAACAGTCCAGTTATAAAAAAAATTAGATTAAACTAGGATCTTCGAAAAAATAATTGAATCAGTCGGAAAATCCTTTCGCGTCGGGTAGAACCTGAAAAAATCTAATTCATATTAAAGATTTTTTTGTATCGTGGAGCCATCATATATATTAATAGAAATAGTTTCCATGAATCTTAGAGCTTTAAAACATTATTCCAGATAGTTTACCATCAAACTCTAAATTTTTTTTATAAACTAATCCAAATCCTGCAATTTTATTCCAGTCTTCTTAACCCCCTTAATCTCAATTTCCCTCCACCCCCCCCTCCCCGATAGAAGTCCTTGTTTCTACCTAACCAATGTCTCTCTAATGTTTAATCATACCTTCCTAAGTCAGGCACATACGCAGGAATTTGGTCTGGGAAGGAGGGGGGATAATAAAATTTTTTAAGAAATATTATTATAATGTAAAATCCAATATTAGTTGGGACTGAGCTAATTTTTCAATTATCTCATCCTTACTTGCCGTGAAATGCCTATGAATATTCAAAAGATCCAAACCTTTCAATCTACTTTTAGAAGTTGCTTTTTGGTATATTTTTCAGAGACCTGCAGACTCGTATTTAAAAAAATATCCGGGTCGCGCCGTATATTTTAAAAAAACCGCTTATATTTGAAATCGTTATTATTAGCTATAAAAATCAAAAATATATATAATTTATTTTAAAATAATCCGGGCCGGGCCTGAAAATTTTTTAAAAAAAAATCTGAGCCGGGTCGTAAAAAATTTTAAAAAAATATCCGGGCCGTGCCCTGCAAATGGTATCTCTGCAGGGCTCGTTATTCTTCTTAAAAAAGAGAATGTTAGTTTACTAATGGGAAGAGTTGTTAAAATATAATAATGCAAAGTATCCATAGCATTTTTTGGGACTATATCAACCATAGTTAATATTTTAAACATAGTTATTCAGCTGATAAGGCATCATAAGATACTTTAACATCTTCATGATAAAAATCTAACAAATATATATTTTTTCTTTCACCATCTGAAAAAGGTTGGGAAGGCTTTTGTGGAAGTAATATTTGTAGATTGGTAAGTGCTGCACGATAAATTAAAAAACATTCCTTTATTTGGGTTAATAGTGTATCTAAGAGAGGGGACATTTATTTTATAATACTCTTCTATTGATCCTATTTTAATGATTTAACTATGAGCTTGCCTTGCTGCAAGTCGAGGGAGACAAATATTAAACACGTATAGCCTCAATAATAACATATAAAATATGAAATTTTTCTTCAACATTCTAATTTCCTTGAGTTCTAATAAAATGCTCTTCGATATTCTCATCTTTTTAATCAAGTCAATGTCATGTTTTTGAAAAGTATTACATATAGTTGTATAATTAAATTAATTAATACATTCTAATGATAAATAAAATGTGGAATAAGCATTGAATCCAATAATTTTCTCGCTTCTGAGGAAATATTTCTTCCAGGCCATTGTGATATTTCAGTAATAGCAAATAATCGGCTCTTATAACTCCATAAAAGCTGTTACTGCTTGATGGTGGAGACTCTATCTCGTTGGACAAGTTTGCAATTTTCTTAGGAGTTTCAGAAATAATTATTATTTGACTATAAATTTTGGAATGGTAGATAAATATTACGTCATTAAAAATTTGAAATTAATAGGTAAATATTATGCCAAAAAAATCTTGAAATCGAAATTAATTGATAAAATAACTTAGTAGATGAATGTGATAAATAAATGTAATTAAATATATATTTAATATGAGATAGGAATAAATATTAACAAATATAAATTAATTTAAATATATCCGGCATCTGCATTTTTTGGCTTTGGAAGGGGGGGATTTGTCCCCCTGCCCCCCCCCCCCGCGGCGTACGCAGTCCTAAGTATTCTGCTCGAAAAGGTTGGTTTTCGAATTGAAAAATATATTTCTTTGATAAATCAATTTACAGAATAATTTAACTAATTTCATTTATTTAGCATGTTTGTCTATGACCCGTCCTGAAGAAAACGATCCTCACTGTGTGGTTTTTATTCAAAACCTTGGTTAATTAATTTTAGTAAATATTGTAAAACTGAGCAAATATTTTTTCCATATCTAGGCATTTCAATTTAAAAAATATTGCACATTGAGAAGGATATCAAATTATATGAATATTTGGGACCGAAGAAAATAATAATACCCATCTTATGAGATTTAATCATATCATGATATTGAACCTTACATATTCTATTACCGGTTTGGTATTTTTTGACGAAAATAAAATGAATATATTATATTTTCAAAATGGGTTAACTTAATTATCAATTTGTTTTCATTATATTAGCCAGATTATATTTATTATGTTTTTTGTATTGAACAACTTTTTATACTGTAATTTTTGCCAACATTAATTATTTTTGAATAAAAATTTGTTTTTATTGCAATATACTGGTTAAAAAATTACCTAGGCATGCTTTATCATACCTTTATTTATAATATGTTTGTTTACCTTAGCAATTTTTACCTATGTACATTCTCTGTAGTTAAGGTAAGCATATAATCTAGACTTAACTCTCAAGCATCAAACACGATTTAATCCATTCTTTGGGATGTATAATCTTATTATCGAACTCAATCAGTGAAACTGGTGCTAGAGTAAGTTTAATCTCATCCAGGCCATTCCACGGGAGGGGGTGGGAAGGGAGGTGGGGAGGGGGTATCATGCAAGATAGTGATTAAAATTTTGGGAGGGGGTAGGATTTAGGATGGGGATAGAGGGTAAGAGGTGGTATGAGGTACTTCTTAATTGGGTTAGAGGGTGTAGAAGTACTTGGTAATATTGCATATGACTACAAATGGCTAGTCGGAGATACGAAATACTATGTATCTGTACAATTGTTACGCCGATTCCCCACCATGTGTCTCAATTAATATAAGTATCGTCTGTCAATATTTTCATCCTATTGCTGTATACAGATCTATAAATTATAAAGATGGGAATGCCAAGCAGCTAAACTAATAAAAGAGGCAGAGTTAATATCCCTTAAACCGATAATAGAACATTCGATTTTCATAAAACAAACTAATTCCGTACCCAGCAAATGGGAAATAATTGCCAAATATGCAAGCGCCTAATAAATGTAAGAATGTAGACATAGATAGTTGGATTGTCATGTCATTCTCGATATTAAGGGTGAGAATAAATTGCCATTAATACTTAGCAAAGTTAACACTTTATTACAGTGCTTAGAAAGAAATAAGACTAGTGGAGACATTGGAAATATGTAATACAGTATAGAATAGAGATAATATTATCCCATAAATCCATTAACATGAACATACATCTAAGGTTTCACAGCAATACATTAACCACCCCAACACAAAAAAGGAATATAAACGTTAGGGCAACATAGTAATTATAAAAGGCCATATAAAATAATAAGAATACAAACCCTCACACAAAGCTTTGTGTTATCACATGGTGAAATATTAAATAACGGCTACCAAACTTGGCAATCCAATTCATTTAAAGGTACAATTCATCATACCAACATGGCCAGAATTTATTCCCCTTTTTTAAAAAAACTCAGCTTTCTAATAATTATATTTGCATTAATACCATACATAACATAACCTAAACTGAAATCTTCTGAATCAAAAATCTATATAATTTCCCTGCAAGCAGAGAATAAACCAATAAGAATGAACAAAGACACCGGATTCCCATTAGTATTGTTAAACTGCTGGATTTGAGTCTATTTTTAAAAACGACTAACTCAATATTTTATCCAGAAAAATATTACGCAAGCCTCAAAATTTTGCTCATAGGGAGCATAGAGGTTTTGACAACTTTTAGCGAATGAGGCTTAGACAATATACTTCTGGCCAAAATATTGAAGCCGTTTTTAAAAACTCAAATCGATCCATCAAGGTAACGTTACATGTCAAGGTATATCCCTCTAATAAATATAATATGATGGTAAATAAATATAATTGTGCATAAAAGATACATTATTACGGTTCCATAGTATTGTTGCCAAATGTCTATCATCAATGCAAAAAAAGCTATCATTAACAATGAGAATCAAGGATATGATTAATATAAGAATGAATACAGATTAATTAGGCCATGGAGGCTTCTCATTATAAGAAGTCGGCGTAAAAGACAAATACCGATAATCATTATATTTAATTTTTAAGCTGGATGATTGTAAATCTATTATGTAAAGGGTATAAATATTGCATGGTTTTTTACATCGCTTTTTGTTATATACAGAGATCCCCCGTTATATATCTTTATATGAACTGTAACCTAACGAACCGATATAATTATTTTTGAAGGAGTAAAAAAAAACTTTTATAAATGAGGCTAACCGGTTTAAACCACAGGTTTCAACCAAAATAAAATAAAAAAATTTACATTTTTTATTTACTATCTTTTTCTTGTGTTATTATATATTTTACTATATACGGGTTATCTTAAAATATCAATCCATATAATTATAAAATTATCAAAATACTTGTTTAATATCTATAAAAAGTATGTATTCATTTTTTCGACTTAAATTCATCAATTCTTATAGTATTAGACTATTTTCTCTATTTCAGTATGCAAAATATCTAAATAAACAATTTGTAAATTTATGATTTAGTTGCATTTATTTAATTTATTTAAATATAATATCACCGCCTACCGAGTAGTTTGATAGAAGGGAAAATATTCCCATCCAATCAAAATGACTATATTTATAAAATTCTATATATTTTATTAGTGCTTTAAACGTTACTTCAAAAAAGAAATGCATTACTCGTTACATCAAAAAAAGAAACGCGATACCGTTACTCGTTACCTGAAAAAAGGAACTCGCGTTACTAAAATAATATATTATAGATAATTCTTTTTATAATAATTTTATTTCATATAAAATATAAATAAAATTGTACAAAAATAATATATTATAGGATAAAATATTTTTGTAATAATTTTTTATTTATTTTTAACAACAATTGATTTTCAAAATTTTGATCAGATAAACAAGAGAGTGTTCAACACATCTTTCGTCGTGCTAGCACACTTCAACTGGCGCAGAGAATGAGAGGGTTATAATATAATTAATAAATAAAAATGTTAATTGGAAGAATTTATTAAAAATTAAAAAATGATCCTCATTTTGAAAAAAACTTAATTGATCATCTTCAAAAGATCTGACCCTCATCAAATATTTTTTTTTTATCTTTATCAGAAAATAATCTGGTATGTGGGTTGTTTTTTAAAGGAATCAAAGTCTACTTTTTTTTCAAGATTATTTTTTTAACTGGAAATAAGTTTAGGCCTTCTCCTTCGTTGACCTATAATTTTATCCAGGACCAATCCAATTTAAAAAGAGGGTGAATTGTTGCTGATTGTATATTTTCATCTTTATAGATGTGATCGAATCTTTTAAAAATAAATATATTCCAAATATAAATTGTAAACAATATTTCATCTGCACCTATGTCTTGCGGGATTGCATCTGTATTAATAAGCGGCTTAACCTTGATATTATTTAAAGCAATTTTTTAAGTTTTAATATTATATTTGTTTTCGTGGGAGTGAAATATCCCAAATATTCTAAAATCGAAAGAGCCGTAGCAACAGGTTCTATAACATATTAACATATATATAAATATCATATTTTTTAATTAACATAACCAAACAATATATATATGAACGACTAGTCATTATCTGAAAACCTCTGAATTCGGATTTATCAAAAGATTTGTCAAATTGGTTATTCTCCTTAATAAGACTATTGAGTTATAAAAAGAGTTCCATCTTGTTAAAACTTAATCAGATATATTATTATTTTTCCTTAAAAATGTATGCACAGTTTCGAAACTGAGCATGTTTATCCCACAATTGAGGATATATTTGAGTTGGGATACATTTTTACTCCCATAATTTCCTTTATTGGTGTAAAAAAAATGTTTTATAAGGGCTGGGGCAATTATTTTCACCTGAAGAAATATGTATACAATTGACATAATATTCTTTATAAAATGTATTATAATATTAGAGTAAATTAACATATCTTGATTATTCAATATTAATTACATTAACAATCTTGATTGAAAATTTAACAACGAAAATTTAAAATTAAAATGAAGAAATTTGGTGAATGATCTGACTTAAAAACTCGGCTTAAACTATTTATAAAATTTAAAAAATAAATAAAAATAGTTTTATAATACAATAAAATATGTTTTTTTCATATTTCTTAAGAAAAAATTTAGAGTAACGGTTAATGTTTTACGTTAACGTTACTCAAAAAAAACACGCTACTCGGTACCTTTAGAAGAAGGTAATGAATGGTGTTCCTTTTCTTCAAAAATGACAACGATATTACTTTACAGCACTATTATTTATAGAATTTTGGCATTTGAGTATATTTTAAAGCATTAGTATTGTTATAACCTTTATTATGAAAAATAGATTTTGTGTTGTAATTGAAATACAGGCAAAGTTGTTCAAATCTGTTTTTTATTTTATTTCCTAGATGTGGGGAATTGTAAATCTATAAACTAATAATACGCATATAATTTGGCTTTACAAATTGATAGGGAATTCTAATTGGTTTATCAATATCATAATTTTACCACATTTGTTTGCTCTTACCTCATATTTTGTATTTATGTTGGTAATTGTAAAAATTTATTTCATTTTCCTTAAAAAAAATTTAAATGGTCCAAACAAGAGTTCAGTCCGTTCCTTTTATGCTTACAGTATTCTCTTAAATAAATCAGCCTGTAATAAAGATGAGGGCAAAATCATACTTAAAGTGGCCATGGAGCTAATTTGGAAAGGAATATTTACATGCATCATTCTAAAGAACATGAATTCCTAACTATAAAAAAAATTAAAGTTTTCCAAATCTATCTTGCCATAAATATCGAAATCTAGCCATGCACATTAATAAATTCTTGTACAGTTATGATTTTTACATTTTTTTATATATTATTCAAATTTTCATCTATTTTATAATAAACAATATTTTAACTTAAGTGATGACAAGATTTAAATAATATTGATAATTAAAGTCACATACTATGGTTTGCCCTAGTAAAAATATTTAAAATTTTTTTTAGTAATGAACCTTTATAAACCTTAACAATTAGCTGGACCGAATCTTTATAAATTTTTTCCTAAGAACCATAACCGAACAGTAACATTATGAATTATTAATATTTGTTATTCCGTTTTGGTGTTTCATTGCGATACTGGTTATATATTTATCTAGTGTCCACGTGGTTTAATCTAACCCTC